ACAATGTATAACATAATTAATACAAAAAGTTACAATGTATAACAGAATTAATACAAAATATTACAATGTACAACATAATTATATAAAATATTACAATGTATAACAGCATTAATACAAAAAGTTAGAATGTATAACAGAATGAATACAATTATAATATAATCTTTAAATGACATTTAGTAACTGGATAGAATAAAAACAAAAAAAAAACAAAAACAAAAAACAATATATTTATGGAAAAAGCTAATAGTGTACTTGCCTCAAAAAGGTATTGCTATATTACCTTGATAACCCGGAGATTATACTTATTTAAACATCGATTTAAATAAACTAGTAGCTGTTTGCCATAAGTATGTGTTTTTATTTTTAATGTATAATATGATAATATAAAATGTTAAAGTGTATGACAAAATTAATACAAATGGTATAATACTATCAATCTATAAATAGATTATCAATCTATAAAAAAATATTGTGACACATAATTTTTTATTAATTTTTATTCATTATTGGGTCGGGTAATTATAGTCTACGAATATGGTTGCTATAACGATAAATCAACCCTCAAATATAATGTTTTACTTTAATACGTGCACCAAATTGTATAATGTCAGGTTGAATTCACTGAAAGACAAGCGTATTGTGAGTCACCTTGTATCAGCCCTCGTTAAAAGTCTAGCAGGGACATGAAGTCTAAATTTATCACCTTTAGCGCACACCGAGGGGTCCTGTAGAAGGAAACCGGAATACCCAAAGTAAACCAACGAGGTTGAGAAGGCGTCCCTATCTCCAAGCCACATACGCTCAGAGATCGAAACCACGACTGCAAGCCAGAGCTCGTAGTAGCAACCGTATATCCAAGATCTATAGTCATGTTCAACAGATATGCTAATTTATTATTTAATAAGTATAAGTAAAACAATAATTTACTGTTCTACAAACTATTATTTATGTTCAGTACCCAGTGATTTATGAATATATTAATTATTTTTAGTACCCAATGATTTATTTATTTATATTATATTAATGATGTTTAGTACCCAGTGATATATTTATGTTTAGTACCTAGTGATATATTATTATATTATTTATGTTTAGCCAATGAATAATCCCCCTCTTGTTTATCAACGCTATGGTCCTCAAGATGATTGTATGTACCCTCAGCCATGGCTGGATGTCCATGAATATCACCAATATGGTTGTATGTACAATCAGCCATGACTGGATGCCCATGACTATCGCCAATATGGTTGTATGTCCCATCAGCCACGACTGGATGTCTATGACTATCCCCAATATGGTTGTATGTACCATCAGTCACGACTGGGCGTCCATTACTATCACTAATGTGGTTGTATGTACCATCAGCCACAACTGGATGTCCATGACCATCCCCTATATGGTTGTAAGTACCATCAGCAACAACTGGGTGTCCATGACTACCACCAATATGATTGTATGTGACGTCCGTTATCCCTTGACGTCCAAGATTACCACCAATATGATGGAAGCCACCACTATCCAGACCAGTTTTATTATGTTCACCAATATGATTGTAGGCATCATCAGTAACGGTGTTTGATTGGCTATCTCCAATATGGTGGTAGTTATCCTCGCCAGTACGGTTTAAATTAATATCTGACGTCACAGCTTTCTGTCCAATATAATTATAATGATCAAGTGAGGGGCACGTGGTATTGTCCAACTCGATATCTGAATAATGAGGGGTTATGTTTCTAGGTAAAGCCGAGTCAGTTTGATGTCGTTGATTTGGAACATTTCTGCTAACATGGACAGCTTTAGTCGGTGACTTACCTGTTTGGTCTCTCCTGGAATAAAAATAAATATACGTTAATATGACAGACTGATAATGGTTGGGGAATTCTTACAATAAAAATGATCTCATAGGATGTTAAATGTGTACTAGTCTTCATGATCGCGTTGAACAGACCAATATAAATTACATGGAATGTACAGACTAGACCAATATAAATTACATGGAATGTACAGACAGAAATATCTTTTATATGTATATTCACCGTCGATTATATTCCAAATAGATTATCTTTATGCTTTAAAGCGCGCACTAACCAATTGAGAAGGGGGCTTAAAGCGAGAATTTTATATTTTCTAATGAGGTAAAAACATAATTATTTCTATGTCTTTTGCTCAATAGGTTGTCAACTCACAATTATACGGTCATAGGTATCATTCTCAAACTTAAAAATAATTCACCCCCGGAAATAATAACACAATTATCTCCCTTGATTTTCTATTCCCCAATTGGAATAGCTATCATCAAACGTTTGAATTGAAAGTTGAAAATGATATTTTTGCCAATTTCTCAACTGGCAATTGTGAATTATAGGAGTAGTAGGATTATTCTTTAACAAGGTAGGACTGTTTACAGATACCATCTATTTTAAGGCTTTATTTTAATACATTTTAAAAATATGAAATTATCGCTTGAACGCTTCTTCACAAGATTTGTGCACATTCTTTAGCGATATTTTGTTTTGTAAATTCAACACAACAAATCTACCTTTTATAAAAAAATATGACAGCACCGACTATAGCAATAACTAATATAACACCGACTATTCCACCAACTATACCCCCAACATTAGTTTCCTCTACACCTGTATCTAAATATAATAATATACAATACATATAACTAATATAACACCAACAATAGCTCAGATTTGTACTTACTCTTGCCAACAAAATAGTCTTTGATGAAACACACTTTCTTTACAGCGAATACGAATTACTACAGAGAGCCAAAATTCAAAACAAAAAAATGTCAGTCACCGTTTATCCCCCAACGCATATGTATACTAGATCAAGCAGTATCTGACGAAATGCAATAGGCTGTGATTTGTTAACATATATCCATGTACTATTATGTATCATTTATATCTAAATTATTATTATTATGATTACTTCTGTATTTTTAAATACAGAAGTAATCATAATAATAATATTGTTACCCAAATTCTAAATTATCTTTAGAAAAAGATGGTGTCTAACCTATTCCTATGATTCTATCTACAATAAACATCTCTGAATTATAAATATTATATTTGGAATTCGTTTAATCAGTTCTATCAATTATGTAAATTATATGGACGCTAATATTGTCAGTTAATGTCTGTATTCAAGTATACAACTATTATTTTATACTTAGCTTATTATATTATGTTTACATACAGGTAAAATATATTGTAAATACGACAACAATCTTTATAATTTTATTAGCAATGATATAAACATGATTCACGCTCTGTTAAAAAAAAAAAACTTGCGGAAATGAGAAAAATTACAGACATGCATATTTTAATTGTTTTTAACATCATTTTATGCTGACCTGTTTTTTTTACATCACTTATTGTAGGATGTACAATGCAGTTACAGAACGTTGTTTAAATATTTGTTTATGTTTAGAACTATAACAAGGTTAATATAAAATGATTTAATAATAATATCAGTGGTCAGTTCCGTTTAAAACTTATTTGTATACTGCGATTAAACATTCGTCTACTATTGGCAATCCTATTTCATGATATTTTTGTTCTTATACCAGCAGTCAAATTCCATTACTCTACCGAAAATTCCACTTGCCCACCTATATAACACATCAAATCAAAATAACAATCGACATTTTATGTTCACCTGAATTAAAGAGGTGTGTTAAGTTTTAAAATAATTACCTGTCGTTGTACTTCCTGTTGTAGAAGTTGATGATTCTATAAATAAAAAAAATGATTTCAAGTGAGGTTTGAATTCATTACATACACTAGAGTATCCATAATGTCTTAACAAATATATAGCTAATACAACAGCCTTGTGACACTGAAATGGTGCTATTTAAAATATAATGTATTTTATATTGTCAGGCAGCTTTATGGTTGTTGTGGAAACTGAAACAACAAGGATTGAAGACATTAAAGATGCATATATGTATAAAATAATTACCTGTCGTTGTACTTCCTGTCGTAGAAGTTGATGAATCTATAAATAAAGAAAATGATATGGTTTGAATTCATTACATGGACCATAAGATCCATAATGTATATGGTTAATACAACTGAAATTATGCTATTTAAAATATAATACAACGGTTGTTGTGGGATTTGAAACAACCAGTCTTGAACACATTAAAGATGCATACATGCAATACTATATGGTCTATATACTGCAGAGTTAATTTAAGTTCTGTAAAATGCTCTCGTTAATGTATTGAAGTTGTTAGCTAGTACCAGTGACAACGAGAACTAGAACAAGGATATGTTTGGTAGATTAAAATCGGATAATGTCTGGTAATCCAAAAATGGCAATCCAATGCGTTAGAAACGTGGACATCCGTCCTCCTTGGCGCCTATATAAGTACACTGTGTTGAAATTAGGGGTAGCTTCTGTGCAGCTGACCAAACAGATAAAGGAGTACCTGGTCAACTTTCCCTGGGGTGAATACATGACCCATGCAACGTATCCTCTTTATAAAGAACGTGCGGTGTTTAAGTTTCTTTAGGCATAATTTTGTATTCTTAGAATGGTGTTCCCACAGCCTCCTAGGCTTTTAGGCTGGGGAACACCGCCGCAAATTACAAGCTAGGGGATAGAGAACTTATATTTAGCTTACATCTAATGTCATAGCTGTGTGTGTAGTTTCTTGTATATAACCTTTGTATTATCGATGTTACAAAGATATAAAAACATAGCTAACCAACAAATTGTTCCAGATATATACACAATTTTTAAAGTTGAGTCCTAGAGTAAAGAATTACAAAAATAACCAGAGACAATACTAGACGATCACATGGTTATTATAATGTGTAGCGGAGAAGAGAGTAAGCATAACACGTTGGATGTGGGGAGCTTTTTGGTGATCAGTCTGTCTTTCCACATCTAACCAGCATAGCATAGCATGGCAAGGTATGGCATGGCATGGCATGGCATAGTGCGATAAGGCATAGTGTTACATATAAGTATAGAATAATTACCTGTCATTTGACTTCCTGTTATAGATGTTGATGAATCTATAAATAAAGAACACGATGTGCTTACACCAGAGTATCCATAATATCTTAACAAATATACAACTACTACACCAGCCTTGTAACACTTAACAATTTAAAATATAATTTATTTAATTATGGTTGTTGTGGAAATCGAAACAACCAGGATTGAACACATTAAAGATGTGTATTAAGTTATAAAATAATTACCCGTAGTTATACTTCCTATTGTAGAAGTTGATGATTCTATAAATAAAGAAAATGATCTAAAGTGAGGTTTGAATTCATTTCATACACCAGAATATCGATAATGTCTCAATACTGAAATGATGTTATGTTCGACAAATCAACGTCGATTATTATTAAGCATTTACTACAAAAGTAGAACAAACCATTGTCAGTGTTATTGTGACACAAAAGGGTTACGTCGTGACTATCCTTCCATTATTAGTTCCTCAGATGATATAAAAACAAATCTTACAGATAAAGTAAGATAAAGTTATATTATAGTATATCGATATTTGATGTTCTAAGTCATTTAGTATAATAATGTTGTAGAGGGAGTTACAACACAAGATCACATGACCATCACAAACAAGTGTCCCTGAGAGAGAGAGAGAGAGAGAGAGGGAGAGAGGGGGGTAACGTCCACTCGATTCAAACTAGGTCATTTGACACAATGAAAGACCTTATGACACAGCGCGCACACGCTAACCATACGGCCATCCACCCACATCTGTATCATATGGGACAATAGCACCAATATCTGTATCTCAATATAATAAAGTAAAATACACGCCTTACCTTCCAGTTCGAAAGATCAACTTGAAAGGGTCGCTTAGCAGGTTATTAAAACCAGTTGGTTAAATATAGCGATGGGTATTCGCACACTTTCTAGATCATCTGATAACATTTATAATTTTAAGGAGTTAATTTCGATTGTTCTTTTCCATTATTGTGACATTATGGTACCCCATATTTTCAAATGTTCGATTAGTTACTATGTGCCTCTTTATTTGGAAAACTGGCACAAGTGAATTATTGAAAGATAAAAAAAACGAAAAATGTTAGTTAGTTCCGAAATGAACTAGTTTGTGTCAAGTGGTCATTAAACCTAATTTTTCTCTCACCCCCCCCTCTCTCTCTCTCTGTTTGGAAGACAAGTTCATCAACCGATCGGTGATTGATATTGTATCTTAGATATTGTTGATAATCATTATGTACTTACCTGTTTGACTGTCATCGCTACCTGAAATAAATTATAACAACATATGATTTCCATGTCATAAACTATGTGATGCAGGACGGAGAGTTTGACAAGGACAGCTGTCTAGTAGTTCGGATGGACGAAAAACCGAGGTCCCGTGTACACATTGGCGTGCACGTAAAAGATTCCTTGACAGTTTGAATTCGATATAAGAGTAGGCCGTAGTGCCACTGTCTGGGCAAAATTTCCATCATAGTACACTCTATGGCGTATGCCCATCTTCAGCCCAGTTCGGAGCAGAACAGTAGGACGTTAAACCCCATTTCATTTCATTTCATTTCATTTGGATTATTTTTCATACTGAATTCTGGATTGAATACAAATTAGTGTTGTTTATGCAGTATTTAAGATTTGTTTTAATATTTTGAAATTGGTAGGATGATGTACCTAATTCGTCCAGTGTCTTTCAAATTAAGATAAATTAATAGACATTATGTTTCGTGTAGTGTTCTAAATGATTTATGTAATAAACCAACCCACGGTAGATTAGTCGGAAAGCTCTGTTGTTACTTTGTTGAAAAGAAGATTAATTTGTGAAAATGCCCCCCCCCCCCCGAAAGTCTACCAAAGTGTTAAACTTACTGTTTTTAGAACAATGATATTCTATCTTGCTGTATGAATGAAATATAAGAACAATAGTAAAATCACAATGTGAAGATCTCTCATTTAAGCCAGTATTATTATTAAGAGTACAAGTTGATCTCCCATTACAGGTATGTTGTAATCCTGATAGAAGAGTTTGGTTGTAAGGTGTAAAACAATCTTCAAGATGTTCACTACAACATGTTTTATTAATACAATCAGCTACACCAGCAACGCGACATCCTTGTCTATATCCAAACGTTATATTAGTTATTGATATCACCAATGGTTCTGTACAGATTAGTCTATGTTCAGTACATCCTACACCTGATGAACCGTAACATGCTGTACTAACGTTGGATTCTGTAAAACAATTTAATGATATCATGTTATAAAATACAACATATATTGATCTTGAATAACAGAAATGAAGTGGGATTTAACGCCATAATGGTCTACTCCTATCGGGATAATTAAGACGGGGATCATAATATATTCTGTCTATGAGTACACCTTTCAACTAAAGTATACTGATGGTGGGGGGCGATATGTTCACTTCGGTTGTAACATGAATAAATATTATTAATATTAATTATTGCTTTAACCATTACATTCAGTACATTATAGTACCAGTTTACCAAAACAGCTCATTATTCGTTATTCACCGCTTGAATAACAATCTGGTTTATTCACCGACTATACGTCTACTAATGAGTTTTCCACTACTAGGGGATACTTTGCAATCATTATTCTATTGTTGTCTAATGATCGTTTAGAATTAAATCCTGAAAAATCTTCAATAAAGATACATGAACACCTTATATGTGAATCCCGAATAACTAGGTGAAAAACGAATAACAAACATCTCGTTATTCGTTATTCACCACTTGAATAACAATCTGGTTTATTTACCGACTATACGTCATTTAATATGTTTTCTACTGCTAGGGGATACTTGGCAATCCATTATTCTATTGTTGTCTAATGATCGTTTAGAATTAAATCCTGGTATATATTCATTAAAGATACATGAACACCTTATATATGAATCCCGAATAACGAGGTGAAAAACGAATAACAAACAGCTCGTTATTCGGGATTCACCGCTTGAATAACAATCTGGTTTATTTATCGACTATACGTCATTTTATATGTTTTCTACTGCTAGGGGATACTTTACAATCCATTATTCTATCGTTGTATAGTGATCGTTTTGAATTAAATCCTGAATTATCCTCATTAAAGATGCATGAACCACTTCATATGTGAAACCCGAATAACGAGGTGAAAAACGAATAACAAACATTCGTTATTCGTTTTTCACCGCTTGATTAACAATCTGGTTTATTGACCGACTATACGTCTACCAATGCTAGGGGATACTTTACAATCCATTATTCTTTTGTTGTATAGTGATCATTTTTCGTTATTCGTTATTCACCGCTTGAATAACGATCTGGTTTAGTGATTGTTTTGAATTAAATCCTGAATTATCCTCATTAAAGATGCATGGACCTCTTCATATGTGAATCTCGAATAACGAGGTGAAAAACGAATAACAAACAGCTCGTTATTCGTTATTCACCGCTTGAATAACAATCTGGTTTATTTACCGACTATACGTCTACTAACGAGCTTTCCACTGCTCGGGGATACTTTACAATCCATTATTCTATTGTTGTATAGTGATCGTTTTGAATTAAATCCTGAATTATCCTCATTAAAGATGCATGAACCCCTTCATATGTGAATCCCGAATAACGAGGTGAAAAACGAATAACAAACAGCTCGTTATTCGCTGCTTGAATAACAATGTGGACTGTTTTCGTCTAGAAGTCGTTTTGCTGTCTTTTATACTACTGGGGATACTTGACATCGGTCATTCTAGTCATGGATAGCTGCATATTTGAATCACGAATAAAAATCTGAATAACGAATAACTAATAACTAGGTGGTGTATCCCTCGTTATGAATAACGAATAACGAAAAACGATCCAATTTCACACTGTCGGCACCAACTTATGTTTCTGTCAAAGAAAAAGAGACGCAAACCGAGAAGAAGCACAGCGTGGTTCAGTAAAGAACGATATTCCCTTAAAACAAATTTATATTTTGTCATTCTTAAAAATTAATTGTAAGGTATTATACAGGTTTAAATAAAATAGCTTGTTTTAGATTTCCTTCAAATCATATTGATTCTGTTCAATAACGTGGGGATAACGTGCACTTCAATTATTCACCTATATTTTTGTATTCTCGTCGTATATATAAGTTGAAATCATTGCGTGTCGTCATACCTTTTGTGGAGCGGCAGAAGTACTTTTGTATAAAAATAATACCTGACTGTGCACCATTATATAGCAATATCAGGTATCCAAACAACAATAATACTTTAGTTAGACCCATCATCATTTTATATTCTTCTTAAATACACTGTGGAAGATATTAATATCACTGTAGATGTGTTGACAACTCTATATTCTGAAATAGTTTAGAACAGTTTTAAAGTGTGTATATTCGCTACACGTAATGCTAACAAAATTTAAGTTGATTGTTACAGTATCCATTACGTGTTTCGATATGTCACGTCACGTGACGTCACGCTGTGTCACGTCAACATTCAAGTTGCACCAAGAGTTATTGAGTATAGTAACATCCTGTCCCTTTTAAAGTGGAAAAACGTGTCATTTTGAATTCTTATTAAGGCCGGAAGTTATACTTTATGACGGAACTTGTTTATATTGATTTTTAGTAGACATCACGGTCATCGCACATACAAGGGCCTTGTCAGTGGTGCAGGGAAGTGTTCCCGTGTACATATCGGCGTGAACGTCAAAGATCCCTGGACAGTTGAACTTCTGTAAGACGCCAACCAGTCTTCATTAGTCCAGTCGGTGCAGGCAAGTAAGACTTTTAACCACATTTTTTTAAAAATCATTTGAGAGCGCATTTTGACCAATTGACTAAACTGAACAATGTATGCCGCTAATTGTAATATTGTTTTCAGTGAATTTGTAGAATTGTGTCACGAGTACCTTACAATAAACTAGTCAATATTTAGATGTTCGCTAGTTAGACGTGTTTAAAGTTATTTTAAATGAGATATTTACACGTTCAATAGTTTCATGTAACAACTTGATTGC